GCGGAGCTCCCCCCGCCCCGCGGAGCTCCCCCAGAGCTGCCCCCGGCCGGGCCGCGGGTCCGGCTCCCTGCCCGCACGTCCCGGCGTTCCCGGCTCCGCGGGGCCGGCGGCGGGGATGGCGCCTGCGCGGGGCTGCGGGGCCGCTCGGCGGTGCCACACCCCCGGGGGAGGGAGGCAGGAGAACCCGAGCCCTCAAACCGCCGGGGAGGCGGCGGGGCGGAGGATGGAGTAGCGGGGCGAGGCGCCGAGGGAGCAGATAGCGCGGGGAGCGCCGCCTCCGCCCGGCTGAAGCTTCTGCGGGCGGAGGAGAGGGAGGAAGGGATCATGCGAGGGGGGCTAGCGCAATAGAGGCAGGAGCGGATGGTCGCCCGGAGGCTCCGCACCTAGGGAGCGTGACGTCCTGCTGCTGTGCCGCCGCTACCTACGCTGCCCGAGCTCGTCAATGGAGCTGGAAAACATCGTTGCCAACACCGTTTTGCTGAAAGCCAGGGAAGGTGAGAGAGCGGCGGGAGGGAGCCGGAGCATCCCCGGCACGGGCGGCCCTCCGACCCCGGGGTCCGGGAGGTGGGGGCTGAGCGCCGGTCCCGGTGGCGGATGTGGGGTCCATGTGGCGGAGCTGGGCTGGAAAAGGCTCCTCGGAACTGGAGCCTTGCTTCCAAGGAAAAGATCGATTTCCCCCCGCTGCGAGGAGGTTTGGGAAAGGAAGCGAGCGAGATTGCGGAGATTACAATATTCGCCCATCTCTTCCTTCCCCCTTCCCGCTGCCCCCCCCCCAAATCTGGTCCCACAGATTGTGCTATTTCAGCGTCTATTGTTAAAGGTCAGCTGCAGATGCATTCATTCAAAAGGGCTTAGCAAATCTGCAAATAGCTTTCCGCGCTGTGTGATGAGACAAGCGGGATCGTATCGCTTCAACGTACAGTCATTGCCTTATTCGGCGTTATTAGGTGATACCATGTTGCCGCAAACATGCCCATTGTTGAGAGCCGTCTGTCCCCTGCCCGCCCCGCACGGAGCCGGGGCTGAGCTCGGTGCTGCGGGCACCCGGCTCTGCCCGTGAGATGCTCCGGGACCGCGGGAGCCGCCGGCACGCCACAACCGCTCCGCGCACCTGAAAAACGCGCCGGGATCGCGGCTGCACGGTGGCAATGGGCTCCCTCTGACAGCCTCCCGCAAAAGCCGCGAGCCCCGGAACGAAGCCCGGCCGCGTAAGGGCGCTTCCTCCCCGCCGCCGCTCGGGGGAGCGGGGTGTCCCCGGGCTCTGCCCGTACTCGGGGGTCGGAGCGGGGCAGCCGTTGGGCCCGGCAGCATCCCCCGGCTGCGGGCAGCGCCACGCACCAGCGTCTGACGCCTGCAGCATCACCGCCAAGAGGTGAGCGCTTTCTGCCGCCTGTAGCCCATTTTTTTTCTTCATTTTTACCTCTTTTGCTCTTTAAAATTAGCGTCTTCTCCCCACCCCTCCCAGCTTTTGTTGCAACTTCTATTCCCTGGAAGCACTTCTAGTTGAGTGTTTGGATGCAGTAAAACCTGCACCTGGATTTTTTCACTCTTGAGCGCCAGTGGGGTGGGTGTCAGGTTTGAGGCTGGGGATGTACAAGTGAAGCAGTGTTGGCTTTGTAAAAGAGAGTGTTCCAATGGTGTTCCCTGGAGTGATCCCTTCGTTGGGAGAAATAGTTCAAAAGGTATAACAGTGTTTATATAACTCATGGGGTGTTGAACTTGTGAGGCTTAGCTAAAGAGTAAAGTCCTGAGATTCTTCAGAAAAAATCTCTGCTATAAATAATAAGGGCAAAGGTATTTTTCTGTGAGCCGACCAGTGGGTTGTAACTCTGCCTTCTCCTAGGTAATTACTGTCTTGTTGTCAATACTGTTTAGGACACAATTGTTCCTACCAGCAAAATAGTACTGCCTTAGATTTCAGAAGACTCTAGGCATATTGTAAAGGACTGGTATTAATTACACATATTGTGTGGTGTTTTCTGAGGGCCGATATTTTGCAAGCAATTTTAAATCTGCCACTCGATTTTATGGCCTTTTCCTACCATTCTCAGCAAGATGGTAACAGTGACGTCATTATTATGTTCAAGTTGTATTGAAGAAGCTGTCAGCTATCTCCCAAATGGCCAAGCTTTATCAGAATGTATTGCAAACTGTATTCCAACTTTTCTAAGTGTGTACGAAGTTCCAGCCATTTGCTTTTTTGAGACCTGATGCTTGTTTATCTTTAAACTCTTCTTTTTTTTCTTTTTTTTTTTTTGAGGGATGGAAGAAGTGGTTTTTATAATTCTTTTTTTATTTCTTTGAAATGAAGAAAGAATTAATGAAGACCTGTCTACCCGCGTTACTCAGCCAGAGGTCTTAGGTGTGTGCCTACAAGTTTTTACTTACTGCGTAAAAGCTTCTGTGAGTAAAATGTTCTTAAAATTCGTGAGGAGTGATGTGAGTGTCATTACAGATGATCTTCAATACACTGTCCATCTTCTGCAAGAGCAACATCAAATTAATATACTGAAGATTGTGGTATCTGAAAGTATGTTTGTTCCAGATAGTGCAGGCTCAATGGGTAGATGTAGCTGGGGGAACACGTAGCCACAGCCAAGTACGTGTTTCCACTTTTTGAGTTGAAAGCAAAAGCTATAGCTCAGCTAGGTGGATGCTGGTGCCTGCAATGTGATACTTAGTGTCAAAAGAAGCAAACTAATGGGATCTGTTCTGCAGACATTAGTAAAAGTACAAGTTTTATCATGGCTGTAAAGGGAGACAAAGCCAGTGCTGGCATTAAAAAAAAAATCGTTTCAAAAGAAGATGCAGGTAGATCTGCACTGTTAAGTCCAGTAGCAGTGATGTTTGTAAAGGCCTCAGAAGTAGGGCTGAGTGACCACCACCAACGTTTTCTTGCAAATATTGGTTTAAATTTTGCAACTCATTTGCTTTGGCCATGGAATAGGCTTTTCTGTGGTTCCCTGTGTAAGTTCCTTTGTGTTTTACTGCAGCAATCACCAATGCAAAGTGATTTATTTTTTTTTTAGCTGAAATACTGGGAAGCAAATTTTATAACTATTATACAAATACTTTCACCAGGATCCTGATGATTACAGAGAGAAGCACACCCATTAACTGATGCCATGTGAAACGTGAGTAATCTTATAGAGCAACAAAATGTATCTCGTTACATAATTTCAAGCAGAGAATAAATTTCAGGAAATTGTCATCTGTCTGCAGAATGTGGTGTTTCTGAGATACAGGTGTGAGTTACTTGTACTCAGAGATCTACCAGTCTGAGCACAAGAAAAAAAAAAGTTTTATTGCACTTCAAAGTTCATTTGTAATTTACTATGAATAAATTTACGCTGTTTCCTCGATTATCATTTCTCATGTAAAATCCCATTACACAGATGGCCAATCCCTGTTAGGACTGACTAGAAAATGTATCTGGTTTAATTACACAACCAAATAGGTGTTTGGGACCATCCCCGATTGCCTACAGAAGGGAATAAGCAGAGAAGGGAAAACAAGGAAGATGAAATTCATAAGAAGAACAGTAAAATAATAACAACTGCAGTAATTTCGAATTGAATAAGAGCCCCATATTGTGAGGTGGTGAAACTTTTATCTGAATCTTTTAATTAGTCTTGTTTCTGAGTCTCAGCAATCGTGTCTGAGAACCCAAGCTGCTAAAAGTGGATCCAAGCTCATGAATAAGTCCTAATTCACTTAACCTGTGTTAAGACTATTTGGTAGAGGGTCTCATCGGAACCGAGGGGCTTCTGGAAGGGCCATGGACTGACCAAGGACTCCCAAAATTTCGGAGGAACTTCAACAGTCCTAACAAAGAGAAGCTTTAGAACAGACCAGTACAGTCATGAATCCAACCCTGCTGTCACAAGCGATAAACTGATGGAAGACGTCAGTCAGAAGCAATCAAGAGGCTGATTATTATACTGTAATGTTTGTACGAAAAACAAACAATATGGTCAGACAAGCATGGCCAAAGCATGGTGATTTTCTAGGTACTCTCTGCCATGGTCCGTTATTTCCTAGCCATAGTATCAGTTTTCTTTCATGTAATCTGCTGTTTCTCTGCACGTTATTTTTTCTTAGACAAGCTGAAATACGTTTTAAAACTCGCATGCAACGTTCTTTCATAAATACCCAGATTCTTAAAAACAAACGTCTAAAAAGAAAACCATGAAGAAACAAAACAAACAACGTCTCCAATTCCCACTACTTTGGAGTTTTAACAATAACTGCATTAGTCATCATTATTATTAATCTTAAAACAACCAGTCTGGCTCACAGAATGCCTTGCTTTGAGGTGCCTTCCAACCCCATCCAGTTCCAACCCACCCTGCTGGTAGGGCTGACATCCATCAGATCAGGCTGCCCAGAGCCCCGCCAACCTGGCCTTGAGTGCCTCCAGAGATGGAGTATCCACAGCTTCTTTGGGCAGCCTGTGCCGGTGCTTCGCTGCTCTCCAAGTGAAGAATTTCTTCCTAACATCTAATCTAAATCTCACCTCTTTTAGTTTAAAGCCGTTCCCCTTGTCCCGTCACTGTCAATTTGTGTAAGAAGTTATTCCCCTTCCTGCTCCTAAGCTCCCTGCAAGTACTGGGAGGCTGCAATGAGGGCTCCCCAGAGCCATCTCTCTCCAAGCTAAGCAAGTCTGACCATTCAACCTTTCTTCATAGGTGAGGTGCTCCAGCCCTTTGATCATTATCCTGGCTTTCTTTTGAACCGGCTCCAATAGCTCCACATCTTTCTTGTGCTGCGGGTGCTGTGCTGTGGGTGGTGATTCACAGGGGTGGAGTAGAGGGGGGCAATCACCTCCTGTGCCCTGCTGGCCACCCTTCTTTTGATGCAGCCCAGGATGCAGCTGGCCTTCCAGACTGCAAGCACACAATGCTGGCTCACATCCAGCTTCTCATCCACCAGAACCTCCAAGGCCTTCTCTGTAGGGCTGCTCTCAGTGAATTCTTTTCCCAGTCTGTTCTCATATCTGGGATTGCCCTGACCCATGTGCAACGTCTTGCACTTGTAGTTGTTGAATCTCCCTAGATTTACGTGGGCCCACTTAAATGTCTAAAGTGCAGACTTTCAAGTGTAAACCTGATAAAAGGGAAAGATTTCGCAACTATTAAAACACACAATATATATTTTTTCCCTTTTAAATAGACTTGGATTCCAAAACAAACTTACTAATGGCCTTTGATCATCCAGAAGGATCAATGTTCTTTCATGTATCTCAGGGTTTTTTGAGGACTGCGCGCTGATGCCTTATAACACGCAAAATGTGCCTGCTTTTTAAATTGCTGTATTTTTAGCTTGCTTTTGCAGGATGATCACAGGAGTGATTTGTGCATGTCCTTATTGGCAAAAGACTAACTATGAATCCTAAACAAGAAGTGTGATTGCTTTCCAAGAACTTGGCTGCAGAGCAATTGGAAAAAGGGCAGTGAAACAATGAAAAGCATATTTTGAAGGGAAGTAGGTGACT